CATAACTTTCCGATGCGGAAATCGGATAGGCGTCGCGAGCGAGGCTTAGTATAAAATCGTGCGGACGCAGGGCTAACTCATATCGACTCGCAATGCAAGCATACGCAAGCAGTCGTAATGATGGCGTACTATGTAGTACCCATACTCATGCGGTCCTCGTTAATATTGAGGGTCGCATTTCGACACTCAACTGTCGACTGACACGCACCTTTAGGGATTGATCTCTCGACGCTGGACAACCGCCAAGAGCGGTTGAACCCCACACCCTCTTCTGCACCCTGCAGAGAGTGGGTGGTACACAGGTTCATACCTGTGGTGGCAATCGTCTCTTATGACCCTGGAGACCAGCTTCATCATCCAGGGTCTGGAAAGAAGTCAAGGGGTTTGACTTTGACGGCTGCCATGGACTACAACGTCCAACTATAAACATTAACAAGCAAAATCACCCAATAAATAAATAAATATCCCAACACTCATATATCAAATCAGGACTCGAGATAACAACAAAAGAAGAGGAAAACATAAACCCATCAGATATGCAGATCGTGCATCGCATGGTTGTCATTCTCACTGCCTCCAAAGTATGGCTCATATACCAAGCTCCAAAATACTAACCTGCATAAAACACAGACACACACAATAACCACATTGTCATACACCAAATAAGGTCAACTTTACCGTTCCCTGTAACTCACACCACGCTTCACATACTCAAGCCCCAGTCATAGTTCAATCTTTCCATAAATCTCATAAGTTGTTTATAATGGTCATTTAAAAGAAGTCCGGTTAAAACCATCAAGGAAACATATCAAATCACAGGGCTAAGGCAATCAAGTTGAGGTACAAATGTAAGCAAAGTTGTGCCGTGAGCCGACAAGTCGGCGATCAACCAACCGACCTGTTATCAGTGATAACAGAAAATGATCCTCGTAGGATCAAAGTTGAAGCTAGTCTAAATCCTAGATCGAATGTTCCAAAGAAGACCTGTATCATAAGACAGGTCAATGCCCAAGCTAAATCATCAATGTATCGAGATCAAACCCCCATGACACGTTCTCACTCAAGACTCTCCTAATAGCCAAGCCTAGGTCTACCTCTAAGCCAGTGCCCAAACAAAGGTAGACCTATGGCAGAATCTCCTCTATACAGACTGGATCGCCAGAGTCGCCACCTGCCAGAATATAATCTATCTCCTCTAAACTAAGAAAATTTTGGCAGTGCTTCCCGTCTAGGTTACCAGTAGTCCGATGACCGGACGTCTCCCCCAACCGTCTGGTAGGGGAGTTGTCCGGGATCCCGGACAAGTGGGTTTTGGCATTAAAAAAAAAAAAAAAAAAAAAAAAAAGGATGTTCTTGCGCAAGACTAGGAGATCCCCCCCCAAAAAATTGGGGTGATTCAGAGCATTTATGGAAAAAAAAATGTTTTTGGCATTTTAGCATGATTTTGTCACTTTTTGGGGGATCTCCCACTGATGCAAGGAACATCAGGGTTGTCAGGCGGGGGCCCCCGGGGGCAAAGCCGGGGTAGGGGTTTGACCCCCGGACCCCCGCTGGCGGGGTGCCCCACCCCCGCCCACC